CGATGTTGCGTCCAGATCGTGATCCTCTCATCTGCACGCTGCGGGTTCTCGCAGTGTACATGAGCACGTGTACGAGGGCCGGTACCCCTATTACCCAATACCTCTTCCGTCCGGCGGAGCACAGTGGCCGCGCATATCGGGAGGCGCCGATGACGACCGAGGCCCTGGAATATCGCCTCGTCGCTCATCTTACCGCTGCTGGGCTATATGGTGGAGAGACGGTGCACGGTTTTCGTCGGGGTGCTTTGCAGCATGCCCAGTCTCAGGGGGTCTCCGATGAGGATCTCATGCGCTCCGCGCACATCCGCTCTCTGGGTACTTTGCACCGCTATCTGGATCCTACTAGGCATCTCGCCCGCCTCCCGGCCGGCGGGACGGGGACGGGGCTGGTGGTTTCTGAGAGTGATGATGAGTGATACGTCTGTGCGTGTTTGGTCCTGTCTCACAAGGGTGGGGAGGGAGGGCGACCTCGACTTTCTCTAGTCTTTCTAGTCGTCTATTTTCTGTAACCTGTCTTAATAAAGCTTAGTTGGTATCTGTTGTCTGACTCTGCATTCTGTGCTGGAATGGCCAAACTCGGACTGTCTCGTCCTGGTGTGATATCCGGGGTTGGCATCGGGCCCTCCGTACTTCTGTATTTGGCATTTCTGAAGTCAAAGAGCCCGCCACCGTAAGGGCCGGATTAGTTGGGGCGAGCATCCGTATGATACGAAGGGCTCACTTACAACCTTTGTAACGCTCTCAGCCTAAGCGAGCCCCACGCACCACGCACGGCGTCCCACCCTCCATCCCCCTGCCAACCTAAAACACCCCGGCCACCCGCGCTCCGCGCGCCCCCCTCTCTGCCTCGCCTTACTCCTGCTCCCGCCGTAAACTCTCCCCATTTCGTATCTCCAACTCTCTCACTCTCGTCTCCGCGTCCCCCCAACCACCCCCAGGTGGCGCACCCGGGCACCCGTTATAAGTCACCTAAGTTGGCCCCGCATTGCTCCTCTGACACGTGGTAGTCATCAATTGGGGAACTGGACACTTTCCCCCAAAACTGGACTCACACCCTGATAGGTTCCCGCTGCTGTTCGGAAGGCTGCCGCCAGTTGGTCTGCTATCTCTTCGATAAGGGGTGTCAGTCCACATCGTAGCCTCGCCTCCAGCAATTCGTGCATCCATCGCAGAGATCCTGCCCTACTCGCTAGAACCAACTGTTCCAGCGCGTCCGCCAAACCGATCGCCATAAGTTCTTTGCGCCGCCCCACCAAAGTTGACGGCCGTCCTCGGAGCCCAAAAATTCTTCGATTCGTAATGCCACTATCGCTCCTGGGTCTGAGGCCGCGTTGGGCTCGAACGTGCCTCTGAGTGACGTGGCCTTGTCTCCCTGTTTTGCAGCCAACGTCTTTCCCCAAGGCTCGCCAATCCACTTGTTGCCCAACCGGGCCCCTGGATTCGGACCGGATGTCCCTTTCCGCTTGTCTGCTGGCAGTGGATGACCCTTCGGCTCTAGCCTGGCGTATGTCCTCCGATTCCGCCCTCCTGGCCCTAGTCATCCGCCCTGGTTACATATTTTCGTCACTGCCACTCGCCGATTCCCCACTGCTCGGGGAAGCTGACTGCTCCGGTAGTTCTCGGCCAATTTTCCTCCGCTCCCATGGCCGTGCTTTGCAATTTAACAGGGTAACCTTGACTGGCCCCGGCAGTCTAGCGGCCCTCTCTGGTACTTCCGTAGCCTGCGTCTGGGCATGCCTTGACCTTTTTTGGAGCGCCCTTCTCTCCTCACGGCATCCTTGCTTCTGGTTTCCTGATGGGCCAACCAATGACATTCGAATCGGCCTTCGCCCCTCCTCATACAGAAAGATGCTAATGCCTTCGGCAGCCGCCTAGCTGAAAAACATTCCCAGGCAAGGGCGTTGGGGACGATTACCGCGTTTATTTCTGGCTTTCCCACGCCTTCCTCGGGCAACTACCCTTATGGTCTCCATCGGTGGGTCGACCCTTTATGGGGTTTTATGGGTAACAGTAACGGCCTTCTAATAGCTGTGGCTCGTTCTGTGCCCCGCTTTGTGTCTGGTATTCTGGTCCCGTGTCTGAAACGTGTCCCTCCCCGTCTCCCTTCAAGAAGTGCGCCGCCTTCTGCGATCGTTGTTGACATACTCCTACATCGCCACACCTGTAATCCGGCAAGCCATCACTGCGGGTTACTCAAGAACGCTACCTCCTGCAGCCTCTTGTGAACCGAACTCAGCAGACCACTGCCGCGGTTTGCTACAAGCGCAATGCCTTCTGTGGTCGCTGTCTACAAGTTCCCCTACCAAACACCTTCGGTTTGGCGCGTTGCCTTTCACCGCCGCTCGTCATGCATTTTGTGCCGCGCTTTGCGGACCACCACAGCAGTTTCCCACAAGCGCACCGCCTTCCGTGGTCGCTATCTATATCCTCCTAGGTCACAACGCCTTCAGTTCGGCTTGCCGCCACAGCGGGCTCCCTAAGCGCACTGCCTTCCACAGCCGTTTGTCATGCATTTTGTGCCACACTTAGTGGACCGCCGCAGCGGCTTTTCTACAGGTGCACCGCCTTCCGCGGCCGCTGTCGATAGATTCCTAAATCCCAACGCCTTCCATTCGGCGTGGCTTCCTAAGCGCACTGCCTTCCGCAGCCGATTGTCATGCATTTTTGTGCCGCACTTGTTGTTGTTGTTACATGGTCGTGGGTGCGTTCCCCGTACCTGCAAACCACCCTAGTACGAGCCGAGGGCTCAAGGGCTGCCAAATCGCCTATAAGCACCATCCTACCTCGCACTTCCAACGAGACAAGTGATGAAGTATACTTACGGCCAAAGGGAACAATAGAGTTGCGGTGAGACCATATACATTCCAGCATCCTTGCCAGGCGTTCAGGCTCCCACTTCATAGCGTCCTTCATGCCGCACTTAGCGGACCGCCGCAGCGGCTTTTCTACAAGCGCACCGCCTTCCGTGGCCGCTGTCTAAATGCTCCTAAATCAACGCCTTCAATTCGGTGTGCCGCCGCGGCGGGCTTCCTAAGCGCACTGCCTTCCGCAGCCGCGTGTCATGCATTTGAGCCGCACTTAGCGGACCGCCGCAGCAGCTTTTCTACAAGCACACCGCCTTCCGCGGCCGCTGTCTAAATGCTCCTAAATCAACGCCTTCAATTTGGCGTGCCGCCGCGGCGGGCTTCCTAAGCACACTGCCTTCCGCAGCCGCGTGTCATGCATTTGTGCCGCACTTTGCGGACCGCCGCAGCGGCTTTTCTACAAGCGCACTGCCTTCCGCGGCCGCTGTCTATATGCTCCTAAATCAACACCTTCAATTCGGCGTGCCGCCGCGGCGGGCTTCCTAAGTGCACTGCCTTCCTCAGCCGCGTGTCATGCATTTGTGCCGCACTTAGCGGACCGCCGCAGCGGCTTTTCTACAAGCGCACCGCCTTCCGCGGCCGCTGTCTAAATGCTCCTAAATCAACACCTTCAATTCGGCGTGCCGCCACGGCGGGCTTCCTAAGCGCACTGCCTTCCGCAGCCGCGTGTCATGCATTTGTGCCGCACTTAGCGGACCGCCGCAGCGGCTTTTCTATAAGCGCACCGCCTTCCGCAGCCGCGTGTCATGCATTTGTGCCGCACTTAGCGGACCGCCGCGGCGGCTTTCTGATGTAGCTGTAGCCCGTCCACACGTCTGAAGACTCCGGGTCCGTCCACGCGTCTTGACTTCAACTTTCGTTTGCTTGCAGATTTCTTGACGCCATCCTGTATGCCTGTTTTGCTCGTTGTTCCTTACGCCTTCGCACGTAGGGTAGCTGTTATGTTGGTAAGTATCCTGCACCGGGCTATCTGGCGACTCGCGAGGATACCAGGGTAAATCAGGCGAACTCAAGACAAAGGGCGCCGACCAAGCCCCTCGCAACAACTTGTCAACCAAGAGCTACTCCCGGCAAAACGGACTCCCAGCTAATGCCTCGCCAACTGCGGGAGGCCGAGATAAAACCACCTTTCCTACTGACCTACGGACCCCGCGAACCCAACTAGAATTCACCCCGCCCACCGACAAGCAACAGAACCCGCTGTTCAGGTGCCTCTACTCAAGGCCGAACCAACCCAACCACCCGCGCGGTGCCCGCGCGCTTCACTTACTTGCATGGATGCCGTCGGCCCGCAATGTCGATCTTCGCGTCGCCGTTGTTGTTGTCTTCTCATATATAAGAGACGGCGTCCTATTGTAGGCAAGACCAAAGATAAAGGCAATCTAACATCACTCGTCAAGCGATTTGGACCTCGACTTTCTCTAGTCTTTCTAGTCGTCTATTTTCTGTAACCTGTCTTAATAAAGCTTAGTTGGTATCTGTTGTCTGACTCTGCATTCTGTGCTGGAATGGCCAAACCCGGACTGTCTCGTCCTGGTGTGATATCCGGGGTTGGCATCGGGCCCTCCGTACTTCTGTATCTCTCGCAATTCTCGAATACAAAGTTCAATATTTCTACTTACTTAGGGTATTTATTCAATACTGGTGGTTCACTTTCCCCGTATTTAGGGTGACACATCACATATGTCTGGTCGATTTGCGTCATAGGAACTTTTGTATCCGCCTTATGCTCGGCCACCTTTTCAAGCTGCACATCTTCCGGGCATCTGCGCATTGCGTTTTACCATTTTTTCACAAATATGCAATAATACCGCACCAAGGCCAGGATCACAGCGCGTCGATTTACGACGCCCTTGCCGGATTGCGCAAAGAGTAATTGTGTCTCAGTCCGAGCATGCTCGTCCATTTCATCCAATATGTTAGTTCTTGCCCACCTTTTAGGTGGGCAAGCCAACACGGATTAAAACATTTGCGAGCTTAGTCCTGCATGAAAACATCCTTCCGGTGCTTCGCTCTGTAGATTTGACGTTTCACGTTGCTCCAAGCATTCTTAAGCCCCACGGAAGCTTCGATTAAGGGAAATTTGTCCCTGTACTTTTTACAGGTTTCTGCAGCTGAATTCATTTAACCATAGGAATGGGAAAGTTTTACATCGCTTACCGGATGAAGCGTCAAGGCATCTACTACCATATCATACAAGTGCAAAGCGCCCTTCAGGCTCAGCTTGAGACCCCGCAGCATCTGACATACGTCAATCGATACAACGAATGCCTGGAACTTTTGCGGGAATGCTTTCCGGAAGCCGACCTCCAGCCGCTCCATCTTCAGCCTTGCGAGGCTCCGGAAGCGGTTCAAGAGCTCGCCCACCGAATGCTGAGCGCGGCTCTCCAGACGCCCGAGGATTGTGCAAAGTTTAGGGAGATTTGCGCAAAGACCCGGGGGAAGCGGTCCGTTGGGCCAATGTCGCCGCCGACGCCAAATGCTGCCCAAGCACCCTCCCCGGCAGCCGCTGCGCAGGCGCCAACAGCCGCAGCAGTGGCAAGGACTGCAACTTCACATTCTCAATCACCAGCAGCAGCATCACCACCACATGCCCCACCGGCGTCACCAACCGCAGCAGCAGCAGCACCACCACCACCACCACCACCACCACCAGAAACATCAGGCTTGACAGCAGCTCGAAGACGATCCGCTCGCCTTGTGCCCTATGAGGAAATGAAAACTGCGGGGACGGCGGACAAGGGAGCATTGCGTAGATCCCCCCGGGGTGAGCAGCAGGCGGCGGCGGGTGCAGCAGCAGCAGCAGCTGCGGCGGGTGCAGCAGCAGCAGCAGCTGCGGCGGGTGCAGCAGCTGCGGCGGGTGCAGCAGCTGCGGCGGGTGCAGCAGGTACAAAGGACACGGCGATCGCCAATACCGTGGGTGCTTCAGAACGGCATCACGGTACGGCAGGTACGAGCACAAGACTCACACGTTCGAAGGGGTCGGAAGCTGCCGCTGCCGCCGCGGCGGCGGCTACCGCCGCCCAGCCGCCGCCGCCGCCACCGCTGCCACCGCAGCAGCAGAAACAGCAGGGGGGAAACGGCTCCCGGCGGGCTCGGAAGCGGCAGAACGTCGGCAATGGCCAAGAGCAGGCTGACGGCGCAACCGCCGCTGAGCCAGACGCCGGCGTGTCGGACCGGCAGGATGGCGTCTGCTGCTCTATCCGGGACCAGTGGGTCGCGGTCGCCGCCGCGGACGCCGCCACTGGCGCAGCTGCTGCTGCTGCCTCCCAGCGCAAGCAGAAGCAGCAGCAGCAGCAGGACTCGTCGCGGCTACAGCGCGAGCCGCAGCATCCTCTTGTTGCCGCGGAAAGGGCGCCTTCATCCGCCCGACAGCGGACCACCCGCGATGCCGCGTACAATGAGGAAGAGGAGGCGGCGGAGGAGGAGGAGGCGGAGGAGGAGGAAGAAGAAGAGGAGGAGGAGGAAGAAGAGGAAGAGGTGGAGCGGCGGCGGCAGCAGCAGCAGCAGAGGCACCGTGGCGCCGCCGCCGCCGCCGCCGCCGCAGCAGCAGCAGCAGTAGCCGGCGCAGGCGCTGCGTCAGGTCGCGGTGCTCGGCGGAGGGCCGAGCGCGGCGAGGGCGAGGGCGCCTCCCCGTCAGCGACCCCGATGGAGAAGGGCGACCCGCGGCAGCCCGGCGGACTGGTTTCTCCCGTTGTCCAGAAACAAGGCAGGAAGGTGCGCCCGGTGGTGTCAGTTAGGAGCCGTACGAAGGCCACGGAGATGGCCGTATGTAGGGTGGGGTACGGCCAACGTTCCATTGCCGTACGCTGGGCCGTACGTAGGGTAGGTCTTTGAGGGACGCCGCTGGCTGCGTGGCGGTAGGGGTCCCGGCAGGATTGGCGGAGCGCATATGTATGTATGTATGCATGTATGTATGTGTTTTTTCCCCGCCCTGTCTAACGCCAAGATGCGCCCTGTCGCACGTTTGGACGCTCAAAGCCACTTTGACCTCCCGGGAATAACCCGGGCCGCCCGGGTCTGGAGCCGCAGTCCCGCTGCTCCTCCGCTTCCTTGTGCGGAAGGTGGACCGCTATCCCCCCTAGGGGCCAGGCAGCGGCCAACCTTTCTCTTTCTCTGCCTTCAAACAGGATCAAGATTTCTTCCTCACCCACCGGTCTTCATCTCCACGCATGTTCAAAACCTCCATTATTGCCCCTTCCACGCCCCTAACCCCTCAAAACCGCCGACTGGTCAGTTGTCTGCTACCGTCCTGTACATCTCCCGCAGCACTCTTTCCCCCCTTGGCAGCAGCTTGGCTCGTTCGTGGTTCGTCTTTCCCCCCGTACCCCCATCTTTGGATTGGTCGGCAGCTGTGCCGCTTTTGGGTTTTGCTTTTCCGAACTCAGCTCTCTGCCGGTTTTGCTCTTTCTCTCTCCTCTTCCTTCTTCCTTCTTCCTTCTTCAGCGCCGCGCCGCGGGGGACGACGATGCGCCCCACGACGGCGACGCCGCCGGCCATGCGCGCAACAATAACAACAACAACAACAACAATAACAATGACAACAATAACGGCGGCAACCGGCGGAACGCTGAATCCGACTCTACATCGGATCCAAATCCGCTTTTGAAGCGGTTGGAGAAGTTGCGAGCCCAGCGGACCGCCATCCGAGGTCAGCAGGAGTTGCTTGCCGTACAAATGACCCAGCTGACGGCGGAGGTGGAGAACATTATGGAGCAGCTGCTGACGGGTACCGCTACTGCTACCGCTACTGCTACCGCTACTGCTACTGCTACTGCTACTGCTACTGGGAGATAGTCAAAGATTAGAAGGGGGAAGAGGAGGCGGAAGATTAGAAGAAGAGGAAAGGAATGCAGAATTTCCAGGATTACCAGAGCGATGGAGAGGAGGATGAAGGCGGGGTAAAGAAGGAGAGGGGGAGGGTGCGCGAGCTGCGCTTTCACGACGGAAGGCATTTCTTGGTCTTTGTTTGCGTTGTCGTACACAGATGTGTCATTTTGGTGAAATTGGCATCACTCTCAGCTGCCTCGATGACAGTGTCCTTATAAATGATGGCTGTTTTTTTGTTGCCTGTTTAATAGCCGCTGTGGTCCCTCGTCATCTATTATTATTATTCTTTTTCTGGCGGTCGCTTCACAAGTTGGTTTATTGCGTTGGCGGACTAATCGCTCTGTCTATAAATATGAGAGTTTGTGCCATAACTATTTTATTTGTCTTTGGGCAGCCATATAGCCGTGTACAGGGGTTTTAGAAATTTGCATGGAAAGCAGCGACATCCGTACAAACGGTAAAAAAACCGTTATCATTGGGGACAGGATCATTTTTGCGGTTTGGCGAAACGGCGCGATGGTTGTAGTGATGCGTTATTTGATGGAAACGGTGACCGCAACTGGTAAATTTAGAATTTTTTTGTGTGTTACGTTGTGCGTTGAATTACGTCCTTAATAAGAATGTGTTGGTATTCACGACCGTTGTGTGTCCGGAAGACAAACGGCCTCTGTACGACGCTGGAAACACATGACACAGCGGCCTGGAAGCTTGCCGACGCGCGCGTTCGTACGCCAGGGTTTGTGTTTTGTGTCGTACGGCAGGAAGCGCCGCCCTGCGGTGGTTTGGGATATGGTCATATCCCACGTGTTCTAGCTGGCAGTTCTAGCTGCAGTTCTAGCTGAAGCGAGTTGTTGTTAGATATATAAATAATCTTACTCAGCTGTCATCATGAACGTTTTAGCATTCTCCTTAAATCTGTCGCAACACATTTTGGTTTAGTCGGATTTTAGAAAGTATTCACGAACTCTCCGGATCATCATCATCTAGGGTTTATATTGGTCAGGCAGCGGCTTGTCTCGGGTCAATGAGCTCATGCGACCTTGTAAAACCATTATCATTATTATCATCACCATCATGACCTAACGACATAAGAAAAGGCCACAAAGCTCAACACCACCACCTGGTCCACCATCTTCCTATCCTCCTCCCCCTCCCCCCCACACACAAACCACATGATGGACCTGAGGGCGCACGTACCATGAGGCGCATCAGCATTAGCCGCCGCCGCCGCCTCGCGACGACGCCAGACGTATCGTGTGTGTTTTCCTTGCCCCCCACACGTCTACATAAAAGAAGGCTGCACCACCACGCGCGACCCAACCCCGCCGCCCCGCAGGGCCCCATTCCCGGATTACAGCCCCACAGCCTTATAAATAAAAATGCAACTTGCAACTTAGTTGCGACCCAAAACTATTATTGGTGAATTGGTAACTTTGAAATCGTGCACTCGTACAGTACGGCACAGTATTGTGTACTGCATGTCGTTATCCAGGTCCCCGCTTTTTTGTCCCTTGGGTATCTATCATCTACGTCAAGAAGCCCCAACAAGACAAGTTACCATCCGTATGTTTGTCTGTCTCTCCATTGGGCGATATGTGGCCCCGAAACCTCTTTTTATCCTCCTGCCGTATAGGGCCTTCTCATCATGCGTTCTGTGAGCCCATCATCCCAGCCCAGCCCAGATCGTCTCGCCCCAGCAGCGCCGCAACACGCCGGTTCGGCTCCCTGAAGAGCTCTGTGAGGGCTGCAACGACGGTGGGGTGCATCCGCCTGGCTCCGTAGTTGTTCTGATGGATGAGGGGGAAGAGGGGTTTTTTTGTGTGTGTATGGGGGGGAAAGAAGAGTGTGAAGTGCAGGGAGGGTTGGGGGTGGGGTGTGGAAGGGATGCGGAGCAGGGCGGCGGAGGGGACCTGAGGTTCATCAAGTCTCGGTTTGACGTTGACAGGGTTGATTGCTGCCTGGTTGTGTTGTTGGTTGTGTTATTGCTGTTGTTGTTGGGGCTGTAAGGTTGGGGCGTGTTACGCGGCTATTTATGTTGGCTGATGGCTTGGAAGGTGGCTGATGTTTTTTATTGTTGTTGGTTGTGGTGGTGTTTCTGCCGGTGTTGGTGCTGTGGCCACCTGATCCGACGAAGCCCTCCGGCTCCCTTTAAATAACTGAATACCTACCCACCTACCCACCTACCCACCTACCCACCTACCCACCTACCTACCTACCCACCTACCTACCCACCCACCTAGCAGCTTGACTTACTTTCATGGCCGGCGGCAGCGGCTTGTGAACGTAGCGCTTCGAGTCCGAACCTACGAAGTCTAAAACCTTGGGAAGGTGGCGAGTGTGGCAGTGGCAGTAGCAGTGTTAGCAACGATGTGGCAGGAAGGAGAGTAGGGAGTATGAGCAGGTGCAGGAGCGGAACAGGAGCAAGATCAAGGAACTCGGGGAGATTGATTAAAGTGAAGCGAAACGCCGATGTGGTGTTGGAGCTAGCGTCTGTCAAACTGCACATGGCCCCGGGGCCCCAGAGGCCGCCAGACCGCAATCAGACACACACATACACATACACATACACATACACATACACGTACACATACACACACGCGTCCTTGCTTACCTGCCGTACAACGCGCTCTGTGTCCTTCACAAAGTCCGAAAAGTTAACGAACATGAAGCTAGAGCAGCAGTGGTGGTAGGGTAGGTACAGCGGCGACGAGAGGGGGTTCGGAAAGGAAGGAGAGCATGAAGACCTCGGTACAGGCATAACTCTCGTGTTTGTGTTATATATACACATACATATATACTTCATTCATCTTATATACCATTTATCACATATATAATATTCATGGGATATGATATATATACACATGTATTTGTGTTTTTGTGTGTCATGACAGAGTAAGAGTCAGAAGTAGATCGTCTACGGCGAAATTGCATATAATAACTATATTCTAGCATGCTTCAAGAGTGCCATGGTAATGGTCGCGTGGCCTAATGGATAAGGCATCGCCCTCCTGCATAATCTTCGGGGTACGGGCGGGGATTGTGGGTTCAAGTCCCTTAGTGATCGCATTTTCAATACGCCTTTTTATGCATACGGGGGAAGGCAGCGTTTCGCCGCATAGTGGCCACGGGTGGAGTTAGCCCCCCTGTTAATCACATCGTAGGCGAACAGGAATCTCAATAACGCTCTCAGGGTTGTGTTGCAGCGGGAGGCGTTCGGATTGAAGAAGGCCAATCAGCAGCTAGCAATTTATAGCTGGCATGGCTGTTAGGCACGGCACAGACAGGTAATGTACGGCGTACAGTATTCGTAAAGGCTCCAATACCGAAGCTGTTGTTTGTAACTGACGGCGCAACGCAATGGAAACCCAGGGGGGCTGTTGGGGCCCCTCCCCCCCTTTTTGTTCCCCCCCCCCTTTTTGCTCCCCCCCCCCTTTTGCTCCCCCCCCCCTTTTGCTCCCCCCCCCCTTTTGCTCCCCCCCCCCTTTTGCTCCCCCCCCCTGTAGAGGGCACCTCTCAATAGGGAAGCGACTCAGGAAGGGTTGCAGCAGCTCGGCATACATGCCGCATTGCAGTGTCGCGCCCAGGCTGTGGTACAGCATGTACGGCATGTTGTACGGCAGAGGCGCGTCCGCGGGTAGCGCCTCCAGCTCCCGCCACAGCGACGCGACGTCGGGCGGAATCTGGTACGTGTACGGTATATGTACAGGATGTACGGATACATGTACGATTATACGGCAGGTGAGGAGAAGACGGAGTATGTATATATGACTTAGAGTATGTATATATGTATGCCGCAATAATGCAACTGCCTAAGCGGCAGGCTACACGCATTAATTCAAACCACCACAAACTGGAACGCATCCTTTTTGTGGCCAACATTGGTTGGTTGGTTGATTGGTTGGTTGGTTGATTGGTTGGTTAGGGCCGCGAAACAGGTGGTCTGTTGGATGGAAGATGCGGCGCTCGTCACGAGACCACTGCTCCGACACATAATCTCAGAACCACCTCGACAAAAAAAGAGCCGGAACTGCCCGCGCGTGCATACCGTAGTGCTACTTATAGTTCGTGCTACAATAATTCGGAGGCACCACGAATATGTAGCACGTACAAATTCTAAGGTATCCCAAGGGACCGCAGCCCCGAAGTATCGTACCCTCCGAAGCCGGTCGATCAAACTTCGCAAAAATTAGGATTTCAAGGCGGAAATCAGCTCTCAAATACATAAAATATAGTCATAAACGTAGGACATGAACAACGCTGGAAAACGTGCAAGACAGGCAACCCTGCTTCAATGCGGGATGAAACCGCTAGCACCAAACGCTCCGGTGAGCGACCGAGCTGGATTTGCACCAGTTAGGCTTGATGATGCTGTTGTCGAGGCCCAGCGTGAGCGAATGGAACACGAGGAGGTTGCTAGGCGCGAGCGCAATGCGGTCAATGCTACGGCAGCCGGCGAGGCGAGGCTTGCGCTCACGCCGGTGGAGGAAGACTGACTGGAAGCTGCAGATTGAAAAGCCCCGAAACTTTGGAAGGGGCCCCGAAATTTGTATCATGCCCGCAAAATCTGGTCCGTCCTTCCCCGAAATTCAAAGAGCACGTACAAATTTCAGAAAGTTTTTTGACCCCTCCCCGAACAAAGCGATCACGAACTATAAGTAGCACTACGGTATGTGTGTATGTATGTCTGTATGTATGGGCGTGTCTCTTTGCATGGCAGGCAAACATACATACACACATACAGAGCTACCCGCAGAGCCCCTCGGGAGGTATTTATTTCCCTTGGAGAGGGAAACCCTGTCGACAGTGCCGTGTGCAGTACGGTCGTGACACGTGTAATACTGACACGTGTGCTTGCCGTACTGCCGTACGTGTGAGGCCGGCAGCTCGGAGAGCCAGTTTTTAACAAACGTACGGAGTCGGTCCACCACCGCCACCATTACCACCACCACCACTACCACCACCACCACTACCACCACCACTACCACACCTTTGCGAAGCGGGGGTCGTTAGGTTCCACGGGATCCGACAGCGTCCACTCCAGGGGCACACCCATGTCGCGCATCTGTACGGCAGCGAGAAGAAAAGACGTCATGGCGGCGGGTCAGCCGGCGCCGGCCAGCAGCAACGACAATAACGGCCATGATAGCGGATCCATGGAATCCAACATGGAAACGTGCGGTACGGCATACACGTCCTAGAGGCGTCGTACTTCCTCCACCACCAACCCGCCCAAGCGCCTGAGCTCAAAAGGCTGAGTTCCCAGACCGCACTATGTCGAGCTCCTGTCTCCGGCATTTCTTATCCGCCAATCTTCACAAGTTAGTAGTCAAGGAACGACACGCGGCTGCTGGGCACTCGAACAGCCTCCTTCCAATGCAGTACAACGCTTCCTTCGTACGGAGTACGGTATCGTACAGCAGTGAAAACGTACCATAATCTCAGCACTGAAGACTCCAGGTACCGGGTCTCGGAGCTGCACCCGGAAATTCAGGTATCGATCGATCGAATTAGGTACAGCAAACTACGAACGATTGGCCATTGAGGGTTATCAAATGAAGCTAAATTAGATATTAAGAGGGGTCATGGGTAACGGAAAGATTCAAGAGCCTGATTAGCCCATTGCACTCCGGTTGCGATATGGCCTCGATGGTCCCCCGTGACCTCTCCATGGAGGGGGGGGGGATGACACCCTGTGTCCGGGACTCTCCCCCTCCCCCCGGACCAGCCCAACTGCACCCCGCATGTCATCATTTTCCCCGTAACGGCCCCCCTTGCCCCCTTGCCCCCCCCCCCCCGCCCCCTCGCCCTCTCGCCCCCTCGCCCCCTCGTCCCCTCGTCCGCGGAGCAAACAAACAAAACGGACAACAAGGGGCAACACACCTGTTAATTTTGCACCTCTTTGCACCCACCATCACGATTATCTTGGCCTTCGGCGTCAGCCGCCGGATGCGCTCTGCCACGTGAGGCAGGCACGCGTTGACCGGGCACGCGTCGAAACACATCCACGCGGGCGCCCCCCCAACCACCTCACGCCACCACCGGGTCACCACCGTGGGGAAGCAGGAGCGGTACAGCCGCCGGGACGAGGCGTACGACCTGCCGTACACACCTGCCGGGTGTAACGACCCATGGGCCATCACCCCGCGCGCAGGAGCGCGATGGGAGATGGTTATCACTCTTCAAACATCGTCTAACATGCGGTGTACGACAAGGGGGATCCACGCATGAAGTACAACAGCTGTACGGCACAAACGCACGGCAGACTAGGTGGGCGGCTTTTCAAAGCCAAAAAGGGGCTCGGCCGGAAAAGCGGCAATTCTCATAAAGCTAAATAATAAAAAAAGGCGAAGTGTGTTCGTACCCCCAGCCAAACCAAGCCCAAGTTTTCTGTTTCTGTTTCTGTTCTTTCGTTGAAAACGACTTTTAATAATAAAACAAAAAAATCCCTGGAAAAATTCATAGCCCCATGAGAGACAACTCGGGCAATAACCGGAATAACGCACCTTGGAAGAAGTGACTTTCCTTCGCCAGTGCCTCGTGGTACGGCAGTCCGGCAGTGGCGCTGAGTCCAGGGTGGGTCTTCAGGTACTCCGCCAAGCTGGTGGTACCACATTTCTGGTTTCGGGAGGAGAGGCGTTTATGAAGACAAAAATATTTAAGGGTTTCAAAAACGAAGAGGGGAGCGATGTACGGAAATCAGATGTCACGTGATTATCATGTTATACGCGCCGGGCTCTTTCTTTTAAACAAACCGTGTGTTTCCAAACATCAAACCATTATTTGATTTCTCGCTTGCGGCGATGGGTGGTTGGTTGGGTGGATGCTGCGAAGAAGAGCAGCCGCCAAAGGTTTTGGGAATGGATTTGTTTTCTTTCCTAATCAAACTAGTCGGCCATTCCTCAATTCGTAGGAGAGCGAGAAACTCCCCCCCAGGCGCCCTTCTCGCTGTTCATACACAAATACACAAACATAAACGGCGGCTGGCAGAGGTTAAGGCCTGACTTCTGCTCCCGGCCGACCCGGATTCAAATCCGCCTGCCGGCTCCTCGGGTGTTTGAGGAGTGATGAAATGGTAGGTGGCCCCCCATCATATGGACGATGTAGGACGTGATAAAATCAACTTGCGAGCTGTCCAGGAACTAAGTTGATGCGCCATTGATCCGCTAGATTTGCTTGGATGCTGGTGGTGAGTTGCCGAACCCAACGAATACATTCTGAAGTCGGATGGGTTGAACGGATTAGGGTGCCCCTCTAGCAGGGGAGAGCAGAACCTGCCTCGGGAAAGGGGGCCGCTGGTAAAGCTATACCACCCTGTAACAACATAAATACACGAACATAATTACACGAACATAAATACACGAACATAAATACACAAACATAAATACACGAACACAAACCCATTAACACTTACTATACCAGTTTTGTGACATACACGGACGCCCCTGTCACGTCACCACCAGTACACACACACACACACACACACACACACACACACACACACACACACACACCCACACACCCACACACCCACACCCACACCCACACCCACACACCCACACCCACACCCACACACACACACACACACACACACACACACACACACACACACACACATACACACACACACACAGCCTCTTCTAAACCCAAGATTCCAAAACCCCCCAAGCCAAACCCAACCCCCCCCGGGGCCCCCCATACTCGCACCACCTTACCGGGAACCCTAATATGTAGAAGGAAGGCAAGTACGGCCGAAGCGGCAACGTCAGCAGCCGCGTAAGTATGTTGATGCAATGCGAGGCCTCGAAGCCGAAGCGGGCTGTCGTACCCGCCACCGGACCCAACCGTCGCCAGATGTACGGGATGAAAGGACACGCCCAGTAGAGCCTCTACACAGGGCCGTACACAGGGCCGTACACAGGGTCGTACGCAGGGCCGTACGGAAGCGTGAGCACTCATACACATGAGGCAGGTTTGGGATCGATTTCGGACATACCTGCGCCAGGATGTACGACGGCACGACAAAGAAGGTGGATAGCCACGCCACCACAAACGCTGCCGTACAGTACAGCGCCAGCAGCGGCATGATCAGCGTCATCACCAGACGCTGGCGGGATGACCAGCTCGGGGCCGGGGGCGACGGTGCAGCTGGGAAGGCTGGCGGCTGGTGCTGCTTCCGCGGCGGCGGCGACAGCGGCGGCTTCTTCTGCTTCTCCATTAACGGCGGCGATAGTGGTTGTAGTGGCGGCGCCGCCGCTGTGGCGTAAGCGACGCCCGCGGGGCCGCTGCCATTCACAACGGCAGCGACGATGCCGCCGCCGCCGCCGCCGCCGTCGCGCTCCACCGCGTGCAGCGACGGCGGCGGCGGCAATGCCGTCACAGCCTCCGTTTGGACGGTGGCAAAGGGCTCCCCGCCGTCGCCGCCCCCGCCGCCACCGCTGCTGCTGCTGGAGGTGCCGGCTCTGGCGCTGGCGTTCGATCCCGGACCCGCTACCGCCGTCTCGTCGGGCTCCTGGAGCCTCCTCGAGTGGGATGAGGCAGGCATGTGACCTGTACTGCTGCTGCCACCTCACTGCGGGTCCCGCTGCGACCAAACAAACAGCTAAACTGTAGAAGAGAAATTCAAGTATTACTGCTGCTGCTGTTGCTGTTGCTGTTACTGCTGCTGTTGCTGTTGCTGCTGCTGTTGCTGTTGCTGCTGCTGTTACTGCTGCTGTTGCTGTTGCTGTTGCTGCTGCTGCTGCTGTTGGGACAGGATCTGGCCCCCTCCCCCCCCCAGGTTAACGTCTCCTATTTTCCGTTTGAGGCAACAGATGTGTCGAATCGAACCAAAAGGATGCCAAACTTTTTACTACGTACCGTGTTTGCTGTGTTGTACAGCTGGGGGGCTGTCCGGGGGGGGGGGAATAGGCCTGTTGAGCGATCGCGGTGGTGACAACGGAGGGGGAACGCAACAAGGAAGAGGCGCCGACTAAGGCGGCTTGTGAAATGGATGTCCGATCTCTCGCGGAGTTGCTAAGGCAGGTGAGCGAACTACAACAAGTTGGAGCGGGGGGAGAAAACGGGCGGGAAAAGAGGAAACGGACGGGCGGTGGTCACCGCTATCGGAAGGACCCATGGGTCGGTCCGTACGTCAACACTGGTGATGGTGTGAAAGGCCGCCCATCGGCCGTCGCTGTTGTCGGCATATCATCACCCTCGTCGTCGTCGCCGTCGTTGATGATTCGTCCTAGAGAATTCCCCTACCGCCATATCTTGGTAGGCATGAAAACGATCGATCGATATGAAAATGATTGCGACGACCTGCGCTGCAGAGCTGCAGCATAACACGTTGTTTAAGAAATGAAATTTAATAAAAAGTCGCTCCGAAGGGGCCACTGAAGTATATGCGGCAATATTAACATATTGTTATGCATATTAATGCTGGGGCGAGCTAACGTATAGCATGTGCGTGTCTGCCTGTGTGTATCGGTTGCGGTGGAGGTGTAGAGTTACGTCTCGGGAGGAAAGGACCTTCCCCACGGGGACATGCGGAGGGGCCCCCGGGGACGGGAGTGGGGATGGCTGGGACAGGAGGTCTGGGCCACGTTGCTGCCGCTTGGTTTGTCTGTCTGTCTGTCTGTCTGTCTGTGTGTCTGTCTGTGTGTGTAAGTGTGTGTGTAAATGTGTGTTACACCTTTCGCGTTGCATTATTTGGAGTGCCAGGAGGAGATACGGGAGGAAGGGGCGACACACGGGGCCATTCTAGCCACCGAAGCGACCCCGCACGCCCCCGGATGCGATATAAGGACGGGAGGGTAGGGGAGAGGGGCGATGAGGGACCGAAACAGTCCAGCCAGCAGTAACACTAGCCGCAGCAGTAGCAATAGCAATTGCAGCAGTAGCAGCAGCAGTAGCAAATCTCTCGTGTCTTTCCCCACCAAGGGGAGATCCCTTTCCTTACCGCAAAATCCTTACCGCAAAAAACACAGACAGGCGCGCAAAACACACACACACACACACGCCACGCCACGTTACATCGTTACATTTTATCACTCACATGCCCTTAACGGATGAACATCAGAATGAAGGCATATTCCCGGGGAACAAAACCGGCCGAAGCCCCTTTTATTATTATTATTATTACTATCATATCATTAGTCATCATTTTCATCATCATCGCCATCATTATTATCGCCATCGTCATCGATGTCAACAGCAAAAAATCAAGCAGCAGCAAGATAAATTGACGTATTACTGCTAGCTATATCGCACCCCCTGTTTCCGGTCCCCTTCTTTCAACAGCGCTCAGCTAGTAGTGATCCGACTAGCATGCAAAGTATGACGACGTACACACCTTGCTAGCCCCCTACTACCCCTACCCCTACTACTGCCGCTAAACCCTTTCCTTCCCCTTGCCCCTCTTCACATCTTCTCTCCCCCTCCCCCCCACCCACTGCACCATCTGTCCACCTCTCTATCCACATCCAAGTCGCAGCCAACTTGCCTCCCTCTCCCGAGTAACAAGGTTGTTAATCCCGCCCCCTTTAACCCCTTTTACCCCGCTCCCCCCCTCAGCCTGCATTCGCTCATTTCACTTGATATTTCTTTATTATTTATTGTTAAGCGATTATTTTTTTATCTTTTTATTTATTTTCTTTTATTATTGAAACACACACCGCCATCACCTACGACATCCCCCGTCTAATCCTCCTCCCACTCCTCCGCACTCTTCGACGTCCATCGCCGGCCTTCGCTCCCCCACTTTTCCCGGCCTTGCCACCACCACTGCCTCCGCCACTGCTGCGCGTCTTGTTGCGCTCGCCGCCAATCACCCTCATCAGGTAGCCCCCAACGTGCTGTGTGTAGAAGGGCTCCCGCTCCCGGTCCACAACGAAGTCCGGATGTGCGTCCAGGAAGCGCTGTATCCCGGGGGTGGGGCCCCCCACGGCGGAGAAGCGCGACAGCTTGGTGTCCTCCACCACGCAATAGCTGCCGTTGGTCACCAGCGGGCAGTAGGCCTCGGCCTCGAGCTGTATGGGTGTGTGGGGTGTATGGGTGTGGGGTGGGTGTGGGGTGGGTGTGGGGTGGGTGTGGGTGTGGGGTGTGGGGGTGTGTGGGTGGCGTGGGGTGTGTGGGTTGTGTGTGTGGGGTTATGTGTAGGGCCGGGGAGAGGAGACGTGGGGAGGGGGTTGGCGAGGGTGTGCGGGTTAATGGGAGGCGGCGTTTTATGTGCGTGTATTTGTGTTTGTGTTTGTGTTTGTGGTTGGCTTTCGGTTTATTTCTTTTGGAAGACAAATGAAAGTAAGTGTGGGAGAAGTTGGAAGGTTGTTTGGTCGGTAAATTAGGGAGTTTAGGAGAGGGTCATCTAGAGCAGATGTCATCTACAGCCACAACATCCAACACACAAACAGATCCACAACATCCACATCGAAATGCAAGAGGAATTCCAAAGCCTCAACAACATGCCCCCCAGATCGAGGACCCCTGACTGCCATTGGCACGTCGTCTCAAACTCGGCGGCGCATATCCCAAAGTAACATCTCCATGGCCAACGAACCCAACTAACGAGGCAACTGAAATTACTCTTGTCCAACTAACCAACTACCTGCACGTGATGCTCAGTGTGGTCGCTGTTT